GCTCAACAAAATGACAGCTGGCTCGGGAGATGGTTCACACTTTGCTGGGCAACTGGAGGAGCTTCCTGGGCTAGCCTCTGCCCTGGAAGCAGGACTTCATCTGTGGAGGGGGAGCAGCTCCATCTGCGTGATACGCAAGTGAAAAATTAAGCACGCGCTTCCCTGTAAAACACAACAGCAGGATGCCCCGCTCCGCAGACCCTGCTGTTGTTTACAAGGACAGACAACGGGGGCGAGCGCAGTCGTCAAGAGGGATTTTTGCGTTTCTTAAAACTACCTAATCACTGACACAGGGAAAAGATAAATAAATCACATAAAACAAGGCCATGGCCTTCTCCAGTCACTTCACTTCTTCCTGGGAGCGAGGCAGCACAGGGAACAGGCACTACAGGCGTGTGAAACACCAGTGTAAGCACCAAGGTCTGCACCTGTCAAGAGCGGGACGCGCGCTCCTGTTGCCTATGTGTGTGCTCCAGCCCGGCTTCCACCTGTCCAGACAAAACCCATGGTGCCCCCTTGTGCTGTGGCTTAAGGATGGGACAGTATCACCCAGCAAGAAATGCCAAACAAGGAAGGGAAGAGGACAGGCTGGCTGCACGAAGAACCCCAGTCAAGAGCAGAATGGACTGGGGCTTGTTACTTCACGTTCCTGCCCCGCAGCCCAGCAGCCCATGCACACAGTAAAACGCCGTGTAGGCTGCAGGCTCCTCAAGGGAAGGCAGGCCTTTACATCGACAAACGCTTGCAAGGCTTAGAGGACATGTTTCTGCAGAATTAGAGGTGGGGAGGCTGAACATAAGCAGACGAGCTAGAGGAGAGCCAAGAAGCGAAATCCACCTACTAATGAGTGACCCGAGGGATCAGGAACCTGTAGGGACTGGGCTTCCTGGTGAGGAAGAGGACAGACCTCATAGCAGCCTTCCAGTACCTGAAGGGGGCCTACAAGAAAGCTGGAGAGGGACTTCTTACAGAGGCATGTAGGGACAGGACAAGGCGTAATGGCTTTAAACTGAGAGAGGGTGGATTTAGATTAGATGTAAGAAAGAAACTCTTCACCATGAGGGTGGTGAGGCACTGGCACAGGTTGCCCAGAGAAGCTGTGGCTGCCCCCTCCCTGGCAGTGTTCAAGGCCAGGTTGGATGGAGCTCTGAGCAGCCTGGGCTAGTTGAAGATGTCCCTGCCCACGGCAGGGAGGCTGGAAGTAGATGATCTGTAAGGTCCCTTCCAAACCAAACCATTCTATGATTCCCCTCCCCACCAACACCGCTGCCATACCGGCACACCTCTCCCCAGGAAGGGACCTTCTCCCCACTGCCAGCAAAGGAAAGCACGTGCTCTTCTGGCTCCTACCTCATACTCGATAGCAAGGTCTGTGTGATCATCAATGTCCACTTTGGCCATCAACACCTTCCCCTCCTGCTTGGCCACCACCTTCTCTAACCTGGGGCCGAGGATCTTGCAGGGGCCGCACCACCTGATGGAGAAAGAGGAGAGGGGGTGTCAGAGGCGGCAAGCGCAGCAGCGGCTGTGGAAGGCCTGCTGGTATGACAGTGCCTTTACCACCATTGTTGTTCTACTCAAGAGCCAGCCTGGAAACACCGTTCCTGAACCACGGCTTAAAAGAAACGTTTCTCTCACAAAGGCACTGTCAACAAGGTTTTGTTTGTGTGTGTGTGGTGCTGCTGGTGGGGGGGACGGCGAGGGGAAGAAGAGGTCCCCATTCAGCATTCACAGCGCTTTTGATCTCATTTTGATCACACCCAAGTCTGCTCCGCCAGCCCTGGCGGTCCTCCTGCCCCCTCTTCTCGGCCCTTCATCCCTACCCTGCATCCTTGCTGGTGGGTATGCGCAAAGCCGTGACCTTCGCGACCACAAAGCTGCCCCAGAGTGGGTGTCACTGCCGGGTGCAGGGGTCGCAGCCCACACTAAAATCGGTTTATGCCAGTCACCGGGCCAAAGACTTCCCCTCTGCACTCACTGCAGGGTTCACAGAAATTCCCCTTTAGCTGCAAAAACCTCGCAGAGGCATTGCATCTGTTCAAAGAGAGACCGCCTGTTCCAAACTCAAGTGCAGCAGTAACAGAGCTTGTGAAGCCCTGCACCCAGCAAACACCCCCTGCATCCTCTAACTGCGCCAGTTAGGACGGCATGAACTTAGTCTGTTCAAGTAAAACACGAGTTAAACCTCCAAGTGCCCTTTTCTTTTAAAACTGCAGCTCTGGTAAACTTTGTTCCTCCTCAGCCTCCCCCTGTATCAAGTTTCAGGCTTTCAATTATTTGTCCTCCCCTCCCTGCGTGATCCCAATTAATGTTGATTTGGGTTTGTCAGTTTGGTCTATTTAGAGCAGAAGTTTTTGGGCTGTTTCATATTCTGTTTGCCCAGAATCAGCCACAGCAGGCTCATGTGACAGTGCTGTGGGACTATGAAAATACTTCAGAAAACAAAGATAATCAGTAACGTTAATCCAGCAGATAACATCTAGGAATATTTTTACTGGCAAGCAGACGACGACATTTTTATCGATGACAAATGCTGCTGTTGGTATCACATGGCTGTTACTAACACATAAAGGCATTCGGTATCAACAACCCAGCCTCAAGAGCACGCAGCGTAAGAAAACTGGAAAGCCAGAGCATGACGGTGCAGGGGCATACCGAGGGCAGTGTTCTTCCACGGCCGTTAATACGATTTATTGGTTTTAAGAGGACTTTTAATCCACAAAGCTAAAAAAGGGAGATAAGGGAGCTTTTTTCAGTCTCGAGGTGTCTTTTGCAGGGCGATGCAACGCTGGGCCCAGGGCGACACCCGAACGCTTGGGAGGTGCAGCTACACCGCCCCGGGGAGCGCCTTCCCCCGGCACTTCTGTCCCACGCTCCTGCAGGGCGTAGCTACACCCGCGGCGGTGCAACCGGCCGGGTGAGACCTCCATGGATCGCGCCGCAGGGGCAGAAGCACCTTCCAACACGGCTGGCAGCCCCACAGCTCGGGAAGCCCTCGGGCGCACTTGCATCCCCGGG